ACAGAGGAGTAAATTGTTTCACTGGCGGATTTACTGCACTTATCTCTTCGAACACATGTGCCGTCGTAATTTCGGCAATTAAAGCAACCTGCACCAACACCTGCGCTCCCTCGATTTAAGGCACTGACGACCTTCGACTTTCCCACGGAGTCGACCCGTCTTCAAGTAGATATCACAACTGCACTCGCCGCAATTGGATGATCTTGCCAACGATACTTCGCTGACCGTGCACCTTTGGAATCTGCCGGATCCTAAAACACACACGCAAGAAAATAAAATAAATGAGAGGGGAATATTGCCGCAAGGCACATCATCTCGGCATGTGTGTTCACTTGTAACGATAGTTATAGCACGAGAACAGAATGACGACACAGAGACAACAAGGACACGAAGGACACGAGCGCTCCTGTCCTGCGTGTCCTTCTTGTCTTTGAGTCGTCGCTCTGTTCTCGCACTTTAACTATCGTCATGTCATGCCAACTAGCCCAAGCTGCCACACTTTATTGGTAAATTGTGAACCTTCATACTACCCGCCAATGATCTCCAGGAATTGTGCCTAACTTACGAAGAAAATGCTGTCGGATTGCAGGACGGCGATCATCCTGTCCACTTCATTCTCGTGTCTCGTTTTTAGCGCAGTTATAATTTTTCAGAATTTCTTACCAACTCCCCCTCCCCCCACTATGCTCTTCTCGGATTACTTAAAGCATACATAGTCCCATGCGCATTTACCGAAGAGCGCACGAACGCGAAGCCATGTTTCCCAATGCATTGTCACCTTGAACAATAGTCACTTAACGGGCTGATTGAGAGCTCTCGATAAAAGCGAAAGCCTGCAATGTTTTCACAGAATAGTTCACTGCTGAAAATTTCATGCACACTTTCCCTAGCGGTATCAAATGAAACACAAGGTGAACACTCATATACACGATATGGTGGAACAACAGCATCCATTTGTGGCGGCTATAGCGTGTTGCTGGTGAGTACGTAAAATCAAGTTTTGGGATAATGCCTTGTTTCATAGTATAAGCATATACTTTCCACTGGCCACCAAGACCCTCACTTTTTACCTTGGAGGTTTCACAGTCGACATAAGTACCTCTTGTACATTCACAGTTGCGTTGAGGCAGTTTTATTCTGAGATAATCGCACAAAAGTATTGAAATCCCAACAATGTCGTACGAATTGATTACAAGCTGATGGCGTAAACGCACAAAAAATACAGAAGAAGGTTTCCGGCTCGCACTGACTGGCCACGTGTATCAATCTGTTTAAAAAAACTTGTTAACTTTCAGCTGTATCCCTGGAGTCTCCGAAAAGAGTGTAATTGTCTTCAAAAGGAAGTTCTCATGAGTCTTCATAGGTTCCCCTGCGTGGCAAGCCAGTACCACCCCTCCCCCCTGAAAAAAACAAAGCAAAAAATTGCAATTTTTTTAGTCTCTCATCTTGCCTTCCTCCCTCGTTTGTGGCGCGCGTGTTGACATTCTGCCGTAAATAACGCTACCATTGTTGGCCTAGGATGACAATTATCCGGGAAGTGCGGAAGACGTCAAAAAAATTCAGGAGAGCACAGTGGAAGCACAAATGTTTGTGCTTCGGGAGTGCCTAAAAACTCCACGCTCACGCCGGTGGAATCACGACTTCAGAAATCGTGAACTGCAAATATAATAGAACTGATTTTAACATAGGTTCGTATTAAGAGTTTGTACTATAAAAAAGGCAATCACAATTAACAAAATGTCTAATAAATCTTTGCCAGCAGTTACTTGGTTAATCGCACTGTCTTGCACAATGTACTATTTTTTTACAGTCACGAGCAGAGCAAAAACAAAAACAAAAAAGGTATATCACGCTATGTGAGCAAACACAAGCGAAAAGGACGCAGGAGTGGTTGGAAGCATGTAGAACGCAAATGCCATGTCATGAGCCTGTATTTGCGCTTCATATTAGAAACAGAGTGAACCCACTCCGCTGTAGGACAGCAAATAAAAAGTGCACCCGGTGTACATCTTTTGTAAACTTCATCCTTCCTTTCTCTTTTTTTTTTGCAATGCTGGCATTGTAGGCACTATCACGTTTTTTTTTTTCGAAGCGCAGAAATAGGGCCTTCTCGTTCAAGAGGCCCCAGAATGAGCTAAAATATATAGCGCAATGGGAATTCGCGTCCCTGTTGGTATGTGTTTGTTCGAAAGCTGTTCATAGACACACTTCACTGCAAAGCAGTTGTTGAAGCCATTCGTTACCGCAGCTGCGTTCGTTTGCAGAGAAGTGGCAGCTGTACTCACCCCAAGTACCATTTCCGCCTGGTCGTAAGAGCAAACCAGTACTGCCTCCAAGCCCTGCGAAAAATTTAATATGCAAATGTGTTACCTCAATTAAAAAAATCACCAAACGTCAGTGCACCATAAGACGTAAGAAAGTCTGTTTATTTATTAATTTATTTATTTATTCATTCATTCATTCATTTATTTATTTCACAATGCTGCAGGCCACAACAGGCCCAAGCAGGGGCGGAAGAAATGAGAGAAAGTAAAAAAGAAAGTAAAACAAGAAAAAACAAATAAAGGTAACTACTGTGTTTAAGCGGGATAGTCAAGGTGAACAGGGAAAGTGCCTCAGAATGGCTGGCAAACGTTTGGATAGGAGGACCTATGTCTTTCAAATATCCCACTACATTGTTTCCATCTGTCGGCTCCCATCTAGATTTTGAATTTGCTGTGTCTAAGGTGTTAAATGAAGAAATTGAGCACATTTAACACCGTAAGTTTTGGCGTGGGCGTAGCCGAAAATGTTTTTCTGAATTAGGCACGTGGCGTGGGGGGGGGGGCGGTCAAATAAACTACCTTTTATATATTTTCGTGCCGCTATATCAGCGCGTGTACACGCAGCAAAATTCAAAAAAATTGCTGAAGCGGTTTTATGAAGTGTACGTACAACCCCCTTTTTCGAAGTTACAATTCAGAATACTTTTAAGTGCGGCGCACTTTAAGGTTGCCGTATGCTGTCGTGTTCGCTTGGCGTAACAGAAGCGAACCGATGTATAACATAACCATGTGAACCGCACTCGCGCCAAGGAAAAGTTTTCTCATTTTGACTGAAGGAGAACGCACACTCAGTCATGGACCCTAAAACAAGAGACTCCACAGACCAAGAAAAAGTGCCTACTCGCAACTAAACTTTATTTTAAACGATAGTTATAGCGCGAGAACAAAACGACGACACAGAGACAAGAAGGACACGAAAGACACGTCCCTCTTGTCTGTGTCGTCGTTTTTTTCTCGTGCTATAACTATCGTCATGCCATACCAGCTAGCCCAAGCTGGCACACTTTATTCTAAAGAACGGTAGGTACATATATATCACTTCTGTCACGTGAGCTGGCTGGTGAAAGATAAAAAGATATAAAAATGCTGACATAAAACACGTGCCTCAGATCAGATGCTCCGAGTGCTCATGAGGTATCGAAATTCCTTTTTTTTTTTAATTTGCATACCTCATCACCACTCTGAGGATCTGATCTCAGGCACGAGTTTTATGTTGCCATTTTTATTTTATTTTTTGTTTTTTATCTTTCACCGGTCAGGTCATGGGACCGAAGCGATATAAATGTACCCACCCTTCTTTCGAATAAACTTTAGTTGTGAGTAGGTGCTCTTGGACTGTGCAATCTCCTGTTCTAGGGCCGTTGTCTGAGTGTGCGCCCTCATTCAGTCAAAAGAAAAATCAACTTGCCCTATTATCCGTGCTACAGCAAAAGTTTTCTTCTTCTTGTTCTTCGAGAGGCTTGATGATAATTTCCGGCTTCATGCGATTTCGCCTTCATGCTACCCAGCCTTTCACTCAAAGATGTTGTGCACCTCTGAGTAAGCTAATCAGCGCACTAGTGGCAGCACTTTGACTGGGACGTCCGTGCATATTTTTGTGCAATCGTCCTCTCTATTACACAGAGACTGAATACATCACACACGGGGTAGAGGCAGACTAACTGTTGTCAGTCTGCACTCAGTGTTTTTGGTGTATTCAGTCCATTCTTGTACAATAAAAAAGCTTGATTATCCAAGATGCAAAACCAACTAGTCTCTATAGCTGCTCCTAATTAATGCCTTGGGTGGTCGGTAACAAGAGCACCATGTAAAAGGCAGCTAGGGTCAATTATGATCCTTGCATGATATTTTTTCATAGTGAAAGGGGAGCTCGAACGCTCGAACATTCACTAAGGCACCACGAAGAGGGCTGAAACAGCGAGAAATTGCTATTTGGTTTCGTTGTTTTTAATGCGTACTATATTTTTTCTCGAGAGCAGTACGTAAATTTCTGGCGCATATCTAGTTATCGTCATGGGTTGTGTGAGCCCTTCAAGGTAAACACCTTATCTGCTTAAAAAAGTGAACTTACGTCGCGTTGACAGCGGCACTTCCGTTTCAGTAGCGACCAAGCGCAAGGCTATGCACCATGTGATGAGCAAACGTAGATGAAGGGTTAGCCAATAACGGCAGAGCATTTTTAGAGACAGGAGGAATAATTAATTCATAAAAATGAACGTGACCTGGCTTTTCAAAAGAACTTGGTCGCCTACAAGTATACAGCTGAACAAGTCGACAATATCTAGCCGACAAGCAGCTTTATTGCACCAATTTTATGAACTTGTAGTTCATTTATCAACACGCTTATTTTGCTCCACCAATGAACCAAATAGCTTAGCAAGAGGCCATGGGGCAACATCAACATGATTATTAACACATATTCCTAGTACAAGCTCAAACGCGGATCAAAATAACGCTATAAGATTGAAATTATTTGTAACAGGGATGCTGGACATGCACTCACCGATACTAAGTCCACCGCCACCAATTTTAATACCACCTCCTCCAGTGGCGCCAGCTCCAAGACCGCCCCCACCCGCGCCGACAATTCCACCGCTAAGTCCACCGCCAAGTCCAGCGCCAAGTCCGCCGCCAGGCACGGCGCCAATTCCACCGTTAAGACCACCGCCAACTCCGGCGCCAACTCCGGCACCTTGTCCGCCAGCTGCACCAGTGCTAGTTCCGGCGGCACCAGCTCCAGCACCAAGTCCGCCGCCAAGTCCAATGCCAAGTCCGCCGCCAGGCAGGGCACCAACTCTACCACTGAGACCACCGCTAACTCCGGCGCTAACTCCAGTACCTTGTCCGCCAGCTACACCAGTGCTAGTTCCGGCGGCACCAGCTCCAGCACCAAGTCCACCGCTAAGTCCAACGCCAAGTCCGCCGCCAGGCAGGGCGCCAACTCTACCATTAAGACCACCGCTAACTCCGGCGCTGACTCCTCTACCTTGTCCACCAGCTACACCAGTGCTACTTCCGGCGGCAGCAGCTCCAGCACCAAGTCCACTGACAACCCCAACGCCTTGTCCAGCACCACCTAGTCCGGCACCACCAAGACCAGCTCCACCAACCCTGACACCACCAGTACCACCGCCAATTCCACCGTGAGCACCAGCGCCTCCAACACCAACGCCTAGTCCACCTCCAAGCGAAGCACCGCCAATTCCAGTGCTGCCAATTCCAGTGCCACCAATTCCTATGTTGTTGCCAGCTGAAAATGATAAACAATGAAAAGGAATGTTCTTCGTTGCCAAAATAATCAAGCTTACGAAATGAACTCAGTTAGTAGGACAACAGAAGACAGAAGGCTAGCAAAATGTAGTACGCGAGAACAACATACATGGTAAAGGTTCTTGTCCGGATCAGGCATTGATGTCATGCCCGTTATGGTGATATCATTTCATTCCTTCAGAAATCAACTCATTATAAAATATGCCTTTAAGATTTTCATCTCCACCAGTGCTCAGTTCATGAAAGAAATCTCTCATAAGACCGCCCACGTGCAACACAAAACTATCATAAAAAATTCTGCATGAGTAGTCAGAGTGCCACTTTTATTCTTTCCACTACCAGTTATTTTCATGTACGTCTCAATAATACCATGGCTACAATGCTCGGCTGCCGAATGGGAAGTCACAAGTTTGATGCCGGCTGCGGTGGTCACATTTCAAAACAGGCGATTTGCTAGGCGCCACTGTGCCTGCATTTAGGTGAATGGTAACGCCATATGGCCAAATTTACGAGCCCTCCACTCTGGCGTGTTTAACATCATACCGTACTTTGGGAACATATAAACCCAGCATCGCAATCATCTTGCTTGCGGACAAATACATGTGTCAAAATGTACTCGCGTTCAGTAACACTGACAGTTTGGCGAGTTGGTGTGGGTTCATAGATTTAAGGGTTCATAGGACGGGCGCCGTGCTTGTAACGAGTTTCGCACCGGTCCTTCTGTTTTAATCGTTTTTTTCTCTCGTGTTTTCGTGCCATTTTTAAGTATATATGAATACCATAAAGGAATTTTTTTCTGTTAAGAGGCTGACAAAAAGTCATCATTTCTTGTCAAGGTATCGTATACTCCTTCTTATACAGGAATCACTCAAGCAATAGAGGTGGTTACATAGGCTTGAGACAGAAAATCATAAGCATAATATAAAGCATCTATACTAATAATATTAGTGAGAAGAAGCAGAAAATAATGCCAATTAAGGAAAGTATAGGGCATGTTATTGGAAGTACTTGTATTGTAAACTTGAAGAAAGAAAAGTGGACAAAATGATCGATAACTTGCATATGGCAGGGACCGAGCTTGCGATCTTCGATAACGCACCCGATGCTTTGCCACTGAGCTATACGGCGGGGGTCATCTATTTGTCCAATTTGCCGAGTAGATATGTGTATTAAAATTGTGTTAGCGTCAGTCAATGACGCCTGTTGCAATTACGGCGTGTGTAGAACACCCTTTATGCATTTTGGTAACACGTAGCCCGTAATCTTATTACAAGCTGGCCGCTCATCAATGATCTCTCGCATACTACTTTAAGCCATCAAGTCCGCCAAAACGAGACCCTTGCTATGAATGAAGGGCAAAAGTGTGAATTCGAACACACCTTTTGTTTGTGAGACATAATACTATAAAAGAACCGACAATGATGCCAAGTAAAATGGAACCTATAAAGTAATTCAAATGAAAATGTGCAGATAAAAAGTAAATGGAAAGATAACTGCGCTAGTAGGAATCAAATCTATGACTTTAGAATAACGTGGCCGATGTTCTACCACTGAGCTACGGTGGCTCAACGACGCCTTACGTGCAAATGGACAAATATATCCTACAAAGCGGATGAAGGGACGACCACCAACGTCGCTGAGTGTTAGCGTTTCGAACACATTATTCGAAGGTCACAGCTTTGGTCCCTACTTGTGGCACACAAACAAAAGACAAAAACTTAATCATCCTGACAGTGCCAAGTTATCGTTGTCTTGACTTTTATCTATTTTTTTTAAAAGAACATATTCATATATCAATGGGTCACCAAAACTGTGCACACGTGTTACAAAACACCATGTATCATGTCTTGAAAAACAGAAAATTCTACTTTTAACCTGAAAGAGAGATTGGTGGATGATCGAAACACTTCTTGATTAATAAAAACGGCTTCAGCTATTTCACGTGTGTGCTGATCAACGTGTTCACGTTTCATCACGGTTTTCTGAAAGTCAAACAAACACCGGCATCATCAGCGATGCGCTGCCTAATGTTCTCATGCTCTCGTAGGCGTAAGTTGAGGCACCGCTTCATTTGGCTAACAAAATAGACTAACTCGTGATTCTGTTTTTTTTTTCTTAAGGACCTGTCTTATCCTTTCTCGCATCACGCCACTTTCTCTTACGCCCTCCCTTCCTCTTATATTTTAGTCTAGAAAGGTCCACGGGGTTTGCACATGAACGCGCTAAGGTAAGCAATAAGTTCACTAAACACAAGATCACTTGTACAAATATTCGCTCCAGGAAACACCATGTCCAAAGATTTTTTTAGTTCTTCGGTTGCCAAATGTTTTCGGTCAAGTAAGGGTGGGTAAGAGCCCCGCTTAGTTGTACCACATTTACCGCCACTGGCACCTGAGAGTTGAGTAAAATTTGTCTTACCTATTGACGAAAAAAAAAAGGACAATAAAACCAGTAAGGCACTTGACGAATGAAATCCTCCTGTTGTGTTGGGAATGTGCACTACATATATTCTGAGTGGACATGATGATTACACATGAAGCCTATTTACGCTAGCTTGAAAAGACAGGAAGCATGCAACGGTTGAAATTACAAAAAAAAAATGTGAACAGAAAGTCATGAAGTAGCCTACTAAAACATGTCGGTGGGCTAGTTCATTTATACGGAGCAAACAGTCAGGATGAAACTCGGCAGTCTTGGCCAGAAATACTACCCGCTTCATCGAGCTTAGCAGCGCGAAATCTAAAGTGTTAAGCAACTACTTCGGGTGAAGGGGGGACCTTACTTTGGAACACGAAAACATAAAGCAGTGTTAGTCTCCAGGATTTCATCAATACGATCAAAAATTAAAAAAAAAGTAGTGAACACACAAATAAAAGCTGAAAGTTGGAAGGAAACAGTGTTAACACGCTTGGACGGTTCTTACGACAAGCATGGCTCCAGCCATAATTATGAGATATCTTTGCGGTTTCCTGTGAAATTTGAACTGAAGCCGTAATTATTGTCCACTCCATATTTTACAGGACTTTGTGCCAGAAACTGCCGAGAAAGTCGACCGGAGCAATGCCTCCTACGGTATGCAGTTTATCCTTAGAACCCTGCCTTTCGTTATCCAAAACTGAGCAGACTTGTCATTCATGCAACAAACACAACACACACTTTTTCGTAATGCTAAGAATCACTGCTACAAGTATGTTTTGCACCGCTGTTGACTAAATGGTGCGGTTAGTGGCCAACGCTGACTAACTAATCTACATGAGCAGGAGTGATTGCTCATTTTCTAAACAAATTAATTAGGAGAGGCACAAAATAATATAGCATAACAGAGATGGGAAGAAAACGGGCTCGTTGAGCCAAAAGAGAGTGCACTTAACGTGAAGCAACTGGGCTCTCTTTTGGCTCAACGAGCCCATTTTCTTCCCTTCTCTGTTATGGTATATTATTTTGTGCCTCTCCCAATTAATTTGTTTAGAAAATGAGCAATCACTCCTGCTCATGTAGATTAGTTAGTCAGCGTTGGCCACTAACCGCACCATTTAGTCAACAGTGGTGCAAAACATACTTGTAGCAGTGATTCTTAGCATTACGAAAAAGTGTGTGTTGTGTTTGTTGCATGAATGACAAGTCTGCTCAGTTTTGGATAACGAAAGGCAGGGTTCTAAGGATAAACTGCATACCGTAGGAGGCATTGCTCCGGTCGACTTTCTCGGCAGTTTCTGGCACGAAGTCCTGTAAAATATGGAGTGGAATATGGAGTGGACAATAATTATGGCTTCAGTTCAAATTTCGCAGGAAACCGGAAAGATATCCCATAATTATGGCTGGAGTCATGCTTGTCGTAAGGACCGTCCAAGCGTGTTAACACTGTTTCCTTCCCACATTCATCTTTTCTTTGTGTGTTCACCATTTTTTTTAAATTTTTGATCATGTTGGTGAAATCCTACAGACTAACACTTCTTTATCTCTTCGTGTTCCAAATAAAGTCCCCCCTTCCCCCGAAGTCATTGCTTAACCCTTAAGATATCGCGCTGCTAAGCTCGATGAAGCGGGTGATATTTCGGGAGACGACTGCTGAGTTTCATGCTGACTGTTTGTTCAGTATGAATGAACGAGCCCACCGACATGTTTTATTAGGCTACTTCTTGACTCTCTTTTCCCCATTTTTTAACCGTTGCGCGCTCCCTGTTTTTTTAAGCTAATGTAAATAAGGCTCATGTGTAATCGTCATGTCCACTCGGAATATACGTAGCGCACATTCCCAACACAACAGGAGGATTTCATTCTTCAATTGTCTCACTGATATTGTTATTTTTTTCGTCAATTTCTTTATTGACGAAAAAACAAGGAGAGCAGAAAGGTGGGTCCTAAAATTAATCTGCAGAAAACGAAAGTAATGTACAAGAATCTCGGAAGAGAGCAGCGCTTTAAGTTAGGTAATAACCGTGGAGCTGAACCACGAGATTGAAGTAACTAGAAGAATAAGAATGGGGTGGAGCCCATTTGGCAAGCACCTCCAAATTATGACAGGTAGATTGCCACTATCCCTCAAGAGGAAGGTATATAACAGCTCTATCTTGCCGGTACTTAGCTACGGAGCAGAAACCTGGAGACTTACAAGGAGGGTTCAGCTTAAATTGAGGACGACGCAGCGAGCAATGGAAAGAAAATTGGTAAGTGTAGCCTTAAGAGACAAGAAGAGAGCAGAGTGGATTGGGGAACAAATGGGGGTTAAGGATATCATAGTTGAAATCAAGAAGAGAAAATGAACATGGGCCGGGCATGTAGCGCGTAGACAGGATAACCACTGGTCATTAAGGGCAACTGACTGAATTCCGAGGGAAGGCAAGCGGGTTAGGGGGAGACAGAAGGTTAGGTGGGCAGAAGAGATTAAGAAGTTTGGGTATAAATTGGCAGCAGCAAACACAGGACCGAGTTAACTGGCGGAACATGGGAGATGCCTTTGTCCTGCAGTGGACGTAGTCAGGATGATGATGATATATATATATATATAATATATATATATATATATATATATATATATATATATATTATATATATATATATATATATATATATATATATATATATATATATATATATATATATATATATATATATATATATATATATATATATATATATAGTAACAAGGGCTTTTAGGTGTTGTTGAATCTCACACAACGTACGCAGCCATGTTGGAGAATTGTGACTAAACAAAATTTATTTTGTGCTTACTTACAAAGAGCTGTTGGTAATTTATTCGACAAAAATAGTTTTCAAGAATAAGGTATCAAGCGCTGAATCAAAGACCCACTAAAAGCATGAATGAACGAGTCACGCTATTAGTGTTCGGAGCAATGTGATATAGGCCTTTACCTGAAGTGCTGGTCACACTACCTATTCCTCCACTTCCTCCAACGCCAACGCCTCTGCCAAGGCCACCACCAATCACACCAGCCGCTCCACCTGAAGAAGGTAGCGAAAAATAAACGAGCGACACTTCATCCATCATTCGTAAACGATAATACGTTTAAGAAGTGGGCTTATGCTGTGCTGCTTTAAACAGGTTGGGAAAAAAAATCTCCTGCTGAAGGAAACCATGGGTGGAGGAAGAGACCCTGAGAAGTTGAACCGCACTCACAAAAACTCGTCGACCCGGTGCAACAACATTAGGACCATCTACCTGTGTAACGCTGTCGGTAACCATCCCGTGATACTGGTAACAGCTGCCGTGAACGCTGCCGGTGACCATGACTAGCACTGCTCACCTGCCGGTCCCTCAACGCACACGTCAGAGACATCGAACGTGGTCCCGTGCTGACCAAAGCAGACGCGCTCTGTCTGACAGAGACATGGAACGCCGCAGGACCGACGATCAACAGCTAGGAATAAAGAAGTCCCGCTTTTTCTCACAGAAACGTTGCCTTCACCGCCCACTCGGGAAAGAGAGGGCGAGAATACGCGCATGTGCACTGGGGGAGCGGACCCGTGAGGGAATTAGTGACACAGTTCTGAGCTGAATTTGCTTCGCATCTAAAAGTTAAAAAAGGATCAATGACGTTTTAGTTTGTCCCTGAGTACTAAATTGCCGTTGAACTAAAAAGATTATCTGTGAAAATTGTTTCGGGATTTGCATTGCCTACGCAATTACACCAGTACTGCTCCCCTTCATAAAAAGATAGAACTTAACTTGTTTTGGATGACATAACGTAATAGATACCATCCCTCCAATGCCGCCATGAACAAGTACCACAAAGCATAAGCACTTGCAGTTTCTCTCACAATCTAAGTAGTATGCGCGATGTTTCCCCCAGTATAATCCTGTGGTTTAAACATGCGGCTTCTACTTGATTATGACAACTTTATTTGAGTCGCCCCGCCGCAGTGGTCTAGTGGCTAAGGCAATAGGCTGTTGACCCGCAAGCCGCGGGATCGAATCCCGGCTGCGGCGGCTGCATTTCCGATGGAGGCGGTAATGTTGTAGGCCCGCGTGCTCAGATATTGGTGCACGTTAAAGAACCCCAGGTAGTCGAAATTTCCGGAGCCCTCCACTACGGCGTCTCTCACAATTAAATGGTGGTTTCGGGACGTTAAACCCCACATATCTATCAACTTTATTTGAGTCCAAAAAAGATGTAAGGGCGACACCGCGCCACATGGCTAGTCCCGTGTATAGACCACCAAGCCGAGCATGGCGGCCCGTTCACGGGCACTCTGAACTGGGACAGCGTTTGGTCGTTGAGTTCGAGGTAGCGCAAAGGCGCTGCCCACGTGTCCTAGATGTAAACGAAGCTGACGAAAACGAAGCTGAGAACGAGCTGAAAACGAAGCCCATTCTCGCTACACCTGATTCAATGTTGGTAATAGTTTACAGGCAGGGCAGTCCGTACTGGAATACCGTTCAGGGTACATGGCATGAACCACTTGGTTAGCATACGCGAGGGATCGTAATAGTCCAAGGGTAACTACCTGTGCCCTACACAAGATATATAGGGCGTGGGAGAGGGAATACCCATCTTGACAGATTGTAGTTTCGTTATCTCGTTGAACCTGAGCAAGGGTTCCTCGTGAAGCAGTTGGAGTGCGGAGGTGGCACGCTGGGTGAGTCCTCCATGTGGCTTCGTGTGCGTCTTCGTTAGGGTTGAAGGTTGAGCCCACAGTCGACCCCAGGTGAAAGGTATGCCAAGTGAGAGTGCCAGAGACGGGACACTCTTGACGCTTTGCAGAATTCGAAGGGCCTGAGGGGTGACATGCTGGTTTTTTTGGCTTGGATAGCAGCCCTGTAGTCGCTGTATATTGACTATCTACCACCCGTATTCACAAACGCTCCTCGACTCGACTTTCACCCTTCACTTGACAGAGTTGTGCACTACGCCACAGCTCGGCTGAAAAATGACGCTGCGCTACTCAGGAATCGCAGCAGATTAACGCTGATATGCAGTGATTTGCCATGCCTAGAGAGGGCGCTCCCATCGGCTTTCACAAGTGAAGGTGAAGCGTTGAGTGAAGGGACGTTCTAGAATATGGGGGTACGACTATCTAGCACAGCCAATGCGATTGTAACCTGTGCAGCTATCACGGGCTTCGATGTGCGTACCGTAGCGAAGCTAGTGAGCCTAGAATTTGAGTCGACGATGGAAACTTACTACTTCAACAAAATGCTTCATTCTACATGAGCACAGCTACTTATACTTAACTCTTGACAAAAAAATATCATACCAAATGTTCAAAATGACATGTATTGTATATGCATTCTGCACATGCAAAAAAAAACATTTTGTTGAAAGTCAGCGCTGGTTTTCTATATCTTATGGGTCCTTCCATGCCAAATGTCCCAACCAGGCCGCTCGCCAAAAATGAATATAAAACAAATGGATTAAGAAAATTACACAAATATAGGCATTAGGTCTAAACTATTTTCCCGAGATATTTTGAGTGGCGAAAAATTTTTGGCGCCCTTGAACACCTTTTGAGAATCGCGAAATGTGGGAAAACCAGGTACAAAAAAAAAAGAATTCCCTATAAATTAACGGTTTTGCACATTTTTTCAATACTAGCTTTTTTGTGTCTTTAGAGCAACTTGCCTTCATCATGAAACAGTTGCTCATGATAGCTTGAAAATTTTCACACTTTAGAGCGTAGTCAAAACTATGTATATTGTAGTGTTTTCGATAATTTTTCTGCAAAATAAACCATCGATAGGATCCATAAATTACTTTTATCAAAGCCTTCAGAGCACCTACAATTTCTAAATATATTTTTGCCAGTATGCGGTGCATATAATTTAAAATAAAACCCTGAACGTGGTGACAACGCCAATTTGGTCTAAGTTTAGACGTCTAGTAGCACCCTAAGGTGATCTTAGAAAAAATCGGGAGAAAGGCGCATGTGATTGAGAATCATAGCGACTTTGTTCACAGAGAGTTCACTCGAAACATATTTCGTTTTAGTGGAGAAAAAGATTTTTAAAATTCCGTCCCACCGATGCATTGTTTTGCTATGGATCTGATACAAACCAACTGAATTCACGGCATAAAAAAGAGTGGTAGTGAATTCACAACTGTAGTGAAGAAGATGAATGCTACCCAGAAGGGCAGGGGGTATGACTCAGTCGGTGAAGAAGATGACGTTTGGTTGGCTGGGGACTCAGGCTGGTTCCGCCATTACCACTTGACGTGTCGTGACCGCTCTCCTGTTTTATAAAAGAGTGCAACTCTAAAACGCCTCATTATAATTGGTGGAGGTGCTGGGCAACGCCTAATCCTGGAACTGCGAAACCGTACGTTGCCTCCAGTTACTACGATGTCCACGGACGATGATCAGCAGGTGGCCGCCTCGGCTCCAACTACTGCAGCTCCTGTCTGTCTTGGCTCCTTTCGGCAACGCGATCCACCTACCTTCAGTGGAACCGATGACAAAGACGCGGAGGACTGGCTCGACGAATACGACCGGGTGAACAAGCACAACAAGTGGGACGATGCACACAAGCTTACTGTCGTCCAATTTTATTAGACCGACGTCGCCAGTCTGTGGCACCGTAATCACGAGAGAGACCTCCCCACCTGGTCGGCCTTCCGAACGGCGTTTGCAGACTTGTTTGGCCGTCCAGCACTTCGCAAACTACGGGCCGAACAGCGCTTGCGTACCAGGGCTCAGCAGAATGGTGAGCATTACACCAGTTATATTGAAGATGTGGTCGACCTTTGCCGGCGTGTCAACTCGGCCATGACAGAAGCCGAGAAGATCAAACACATCTTGAAAGGCGTGACTGACGACGCATTTCAGATGCTTGTCGCCAAAAGCCCGCAAACGGTAGCGGAAGTGATCCAACTGTGTCAGAGCTATGATGAGCTCTGGAAACAGCGTGACACCACTCGTCGTGCTACCGCGCCATGTGCAACCATCTCCGCTTTAACGTCGGCTGGCTCTATAGATCACACCGCTTTGCTTCTCGAGATCAAGCAATTTGTACGAGAGGAGGTCGCACGCCAGTTTTCCCTCGTGCCTTATACCTCCGAAGGTGCCCCATCTACTTTAGCGCCATCAATACAGCGAGTAGTCCAGGAGCAAGTGTCCGAGGCGCTACCAACAGCTCACGCACCACCTGTGGCTGCTCCATTGACCTATGCCGAAGCACTGAACGGAACCCGACGTCCACCTGTCGCGAACGGCCACGTTTCTTTGTCGCGAACGCCTACGTCCACGCGTCCCTTTGTCGTACAGACTGAGCCTATGTACCAGGCTGCCCGTCCTATCTCCCGACCACCACCTCGACGCTTTCAGAACCATTGGCGCGCTCAAGACAACCGCCCCATATGCTTCGCCTGTGGAATTGCGGGTCACGTGGCACGATTTTGGCGACGGCGTGAGTTTTTCCTGCGTGACGACGTCAGGCCCAACAATTATGATTTACCCCCACGACCGGAGCCGGCTGTATATGGCGATTGATTGATTGATATGTGGGGTTTAACGTCCCAAAACCACTATATGATTATGAGAGACGCCGTAGTGGAGGGCTCCGGAAATTTAGACCACCTGGGGTTCTTTAACGTGCACCCAAATCTGAGCACACGGGCCTACAACATTTCCGCCTCCATCGGAAATGCAGCCGCCGCAGCCGGGATTCGAACCCGCGCCCTGCGGGTCAGCAGCCGAGTGCCTTAGCCACTAGACCACCGCGGCGGGGCTGTATATGGCGAGACTACCACCATGGACACATTTTCACCTCGCCGGAACTTCAACAGACACCGGTCGCCTTCACCTCAACGCCGTTCCCTTTCCCCTATGCTCCGTCGACCTCACCCTGTCCCTGAGGAAAACTAGGAGCCGCGGTTCCGGGGGCAAGAACTGCGGATCTTTCGAACTCCACAAGACCTCGTTTTTCGCCGTCCAACGTCGTTGCTGTCTCCGTTGAAGGTATACCTGTTTTTGCATTGGTCGATACTGGCGCCGCAGTGTCTGTAATG